CAGGTAGGTGAAGGATGGGGAGGTATGTAATGCAAGGGATTGATCTTGCAGCTTCGTTTGCGAGGGTGTTCTTTGGGGAGGAGATTGAGATTGAGGGGGAGATTCCGAAGCCTGATGAATACACCTCATCCGCACGCATAGATTTTGGAGGGTATTGGGTGTAGACCAGGTGAAGAGAAGGATTCCGAGTATCCCGTGCACCCCAGTGAACGAACGTGAACCATCACTGAAGTCTTTCTTGTTGTGGAAGTCAAAGCGAGTCCTGATATTGAGTGTAGCGTTTGAACACCGAAGAACAGAGCAATTTGGGCCTAAATGATTGCTGAAAAGGCGGTACCAACTGGCCCAGTACAGACCAACAACCTGATTTCAAGGCACTTGATGTAGTTGTAGAGGCATGTTCAAGGGGACGGAATGTAGCATGCAAAGTGATTCCTCGAGCAAGGCCGCACCACAGCTGTGTACCGTGTCAGTGCTTCTCTTGGGAAAACGACCACGCCATACGTACGCTGGAGCTCAAGACGATCATCTTCGTCAACATAAGACCTATGAAACCGATGAGTCAAGCACAAAAAGATCGCAGTTAAGTGGAGCCTACAAATCAGTCACGTGGATCAGGGTGCGCAGAGGCGTTCATCTTCAAACGTCGCCTGATAACGTGGATTCCGGTGTCCGTCTTCGATCTCTTCGCTACCTTGACTAAAACGACGGCAGAAAGGGTTTCTTGAATGAAAGATGGCAGCAGAACAATGTAAACCCAAAAATCTGGTAAGAGAGGATGTCAGGAGCGCTTTGTATCAGGTAAGAGGCTTCACCTACATCATTTGGAGTCACTGAATTCGCCTCCACCCTAGATTGGGGTTCGTTTCGATCCATCCAGAGAAGACGGGGATCAGTCCTCAACGACCAAGGGCGGCCGCTGGAAATACGGCCACTGGAAGCCCTCGACTTCGTGAACGAGCAGGCCTCAAGCATAGTGATAGTGATGCACAATGTAACGTTGTGAAAAGTCCCGACTTCCGTATCAAACGGAAAGAATTCTGCAGCGTATCAGAATCTGTATTTTGGCTTGTGTGGAAAGTTACATCGCGGTAACCTCAATGTGGACCTATGTAAGGCGGAAGATTGGTTAAAGGTTGGCAGTTGCACCAGTATGCCTTGAAAACAAAATCAGCCTTTCCTTCTGGAGGAAGGGTTGGAAAATCGTATTCCAACCTTTATGATATGTATCTGCCACACTTTGATGTTCGATGCATGTTTAGTCTACGCAATCAAGGCTGCCGGACAGATGATCCCGCCTATCAAAAGATCATTGTCAAAATCGCTGCGCGTGATTAGCATCGACAACATCTGGAGACGCTTCTGTCCAGAACGTCGGCCGCTTAGAAATCCAGACGGGGTTGCAAAGACACCTGTAGATGAATATAAAATAGACGGATCAGTTGAAAGGCGAACTCAACAAACCTAACTCTGCACCATGGCCACCCTAC